TGCCTTTCCGGCTGTCTGTGTGGTCGTCCTTCTCAATACGGTGCCGGGGCGCGCCATTTTTAAAAACTGCGCAGCAACTACAATGGACAACTGCAACAAAAGGTTAAACGAGGAGGTTCGAAAGTACAACCACTTATACGATGCCTCAGACAAATTATATAAAGATGCCAAGGCCTCTGCCAAAATGAAGTTCTTGTGACCATAGCAAAGTTCTCACGAGTTCTCGAATAGGCTCCCTCTTGTGCCTTGGTGGGAAACTGCTGTAGATCCCTAGAAATTCCAGACCAACGGTGCAGAAGCATACCAGCGAAACTGGTTTGCGATCAGACCCAAGCGACATTTGATGTGTGCGGATGCAGAAGTCTAATCTGCCCTTTAAGGGTCCATTGTCTAATCAAGTGGCAGCACTAGAGCAACACAGGGGACAATACTCTTACCTTTGTATTTACGGTACTATGTAAAACTCTAAATTCCAGTACAAGGCAGTCTTGTCATCTGCAGATATACTCAGATAACTCTGTAGTCATTGGGTGCAGAGAGCTGGTGAACCGCTTTGTGTCATGGTATGGAAACAATTATTTGATCCTGAATGTGAGCAAAACACAGGAGATGATTGTTTATTCCAGAAAAAAACAGGAACAATTTGAACCTATTAACATCATAGGAATGGAAATGGAAGTGGTTGAGGAGTATAAATACCTTGGTTTTTACCTGGAAAACAGACTGGAGACACAATTGTGAAATCATCTATGATAAGGGACAGAGCAGTCTGTACTGAGAAAGATCCTTTAGTGTTTGCCGCAAAATGCAGCATGTCTGCAATAACACTGTTGTGAGGAGTGTGATCTCTTTTGCCATTATCTGCTAGGGTAGTGGTTTTCAAAGTCCTCAGGACCCGCTGCCCTGCAATTTTTTAGATGTGTCTATGTTCCAGCACACCTGCATCAATGATTGCACTCCCTCCTCAGCAGCCACCACTGGCTGCAGGGCCTGCTAATTACCCATTTATTTAAGCCCGGTGTCTAGATACAGATAATTTAAATTGATTTGAAACCTTTCTAGTACAAGCCAGATTCTTTTATTTAATTGCTCAATTACAAAACTAAGAAATGTCATTCTTAATCTAGTAAAAGGTTCTATAAACTTTTGGACATGATTGTGATTAAACCCTGAAATGCTTAAATTTTCATCCTATGCTTCATAAAAACCCAACATGCTTTGTTTTATAAGCGGATATCCCACTGAAACACATGTTCAACAACCAGTATTTCACACTGTGGTCAAAAAAAGCTGAAAAATCCATCATAAATCCAATTAAGACCATATTCAACCGCAAAACCAGAGGATTATTTTAATTAAAACCAGGTTTGAAAAGTATGCTTTTGGTGCCACAGCACAACTAAAACTTGTCTTTGCTACATAGGATTTCAAAATTATAGCTTGAACAGTACCAGATGAAAGACAAATCAGCATGCAAACAGAAAATGCTTGTTATTGCTGGGGCTGTTTAGCTAATAAAGTAAGGAGCTTTAAAAGTCTGGTGAAATTTGATGTTATTATTTAGGATTATCACTGCAGCAGGTAAAAGATACTGCATCTCTTTAAAACTGACTGAATAACAAAAAAAGTGAAACAACTGTCGAAAAACAAAAAATAACATTGATAACGACAAACTAAGACCAAAGAAAACATGCATATATGTTTGTCTAGATATATCAATTATTTACTGAAATCCATATCCTATACTATTTGTTTAGAATATCATAAACGTCCAATTATTTTAACACTGACATTCAAAACATTAAGCTTATATGAAGATACATTTATGTGTTTATTTTTTTTTTATATTTTATTGCAGTTAATGAAAACCACTGATCTATAGCTCAGTCCCTTTTTTACTCTGCCAGCAAAAAAAACTCTAAAGTTATATCTGATCCATAAGAGGCTCTTATAAGAGGATTGTGACAGTTGTAGCTCATGTTTTGGGTAACGGCAGCGTTCTTTGGCACGCATGCCCTTAGTCAATCATTGCCCTGAAAGATTGATTGATCAATTGATTTGATTGATTGTTGAATGTGAATGAAATTTGCAGTACAATCCCTTCAGTGTTGCACTCTTGTTACATTCTGCTTCTACTCTCTCTCTTTCAACTAAGCTTACCATTGACATGCTTGTATGCAGCACATTAACAGTCAGCCTCCTCTATCAATGACCTTTTGTGGTTTAACTTCCTTTTAGAGGGTGTCAGCACTTCCTGCCCCTTAATGTAGCAGTCTTACCCATAATTGTGTAGGCCATGACATACATTTCTGTAATAGAATATATCTATATATCTATCTATAATATATTAATTTTTTTCCCTATGTGATATATTTTTATGTTGTTGCAAACTGAATTTTGGTTTTCATTACTAATAAACTATCAATAAACTTAAATAGATGACTCTGTATGTAAACAGCATTTTTTGATAATATTTTCATTCAGTTAGATACCTTTTTAAGTATATAATGGTTTCCTTCATGTGATATTTTCAGATAAAAGGCAGTGACGCAGGCTGGACGCTGGGCTATATGTTGAACTTGACCAACATGATTCCAGCAGAGGCTCCAGACTCACCCCCTCTCCCTCATGCCGGCTATGTCTCCATAGTCACTGTCATTGCTGTATTGCTCTTTATCCTCCTCATCCTCAGCCTGCGCCCCGTCTGGCCCAGATGCTCAAAGCAACCACAGATCGTATAAACATAATGATGAATCTGTGTTTGAGTGAGGAAAGCCTATGAAGGGTTGTTTGTGTGTTTTTGTGTGGGTGAAAGGTCATCTAAAGCTGTCAAACAAAGACCTGTGACTCATACTGTTTTAAGGATTTTTTTTTAGAAGGGCACACGTTTTCACTCATCTAGCAGTGAAAATCTGACTGAAGGACATTTTCTCCATTAAAATATGTGCACAAATGTATGTTTGGGCTTGAATGAGTGAAACTGAATGCATGTTTGGAAGTGTGCGTGAATCCACATTAGTATGCATGTTTGTGTTTTGAATTATGTTGTGAATATGTAACTGTATAAATAAAGCATACTGAGTTTATGTAAAATGTTCTGTTTGACTCCTTGAAATGTACTTATATTGCCTTGCAAAAGTATAAATACCCCTTAAATGTGTCATGATTGGGTAATGGAAAGAAATGTATATATCTATTTGGTAGCAAACAAAGTTAGGTATGTATTCAGTCCCTTTGTCCCTGTAAATAAAACCCAAGGCCACCAAAGACATCAGAAGTCATCAAAATTCTAAATGGAGCCTGCCTACGTCTAATTTACCTCAGCACAAACCATGCCGGTGCACTGATGTCTGAGGTTTTTCAGGGATTTGTCTGTTTGCCTGTCTGTCTAAGATTGTAATCTGGGAATTTATCCATACAAAGAGATAGCAGTCCACCTGGGCTGACATGCTGGAAAAGGAGTGCTTTAATTACAAAAGCAGCAAAAATAGCATTAGTTTTATACCAGGCCTTTGAGAAAAAGCTGTGAGAAGATGGCTTTTATTTAGTTTTTCTTTGTTGCTTTTATACATCTCTGAAAAGCTTTGCAACACATTAAATGTATTTCTCAAACTGAATTGTAAAAACTGAAAACATCACAAATTACATGCAAAAGCCAGTCTCTTTTTTAAACTCCTTAGTTAATCTGCAGACAGTCATGTTGCCTAATCATGTTGTACTGAGCATTCTCTGTAGATGTGTTCCTATGTAAACTATGGATACATTTTTATGACAAATATTGTCAAATTGCAAGAGGCAGAAGAAGATTCATTTTCATATTTTGACTGCTTTTATTGTTTTTTTTTTTTTTTAAATAGCCAATAAGGATAGAGAGGAAAATATAAAAAAAAACTAAAGTAGAAATGTGAGGAATTGAAAATCACCTTAGATGAAACTTTACTTGCTGTGCCGTAGGTATTGCCTAATGTTCACATCCATTTCAAAATAAATATTTCATATTGAAAGGTGGCATGGAAAGAATGTTTTACAGTGTCGAATCCAGGCTCTGCACACATCTGCTGTGATGTCATCACACACTGCATGCATGGCAGCCTGAAGGGCCATCTGTGTTTCAGGCTGGTGATTATATACTTTCCATCTCCATGCTGAGAAAAATTCCTTAATCAGGTTTGCAAATGGAGAGTAGGTTTGTTGGAAATCCAATGTCCTTTTTTTGGTCTCAAACCATTGCCTAATGATGTTGTGGTGATAGAAACTGACACTGTCCAAAACTATTATGTGCATTGGCAGCTGAGGGAATTACCTTTTTGTAAAACATCTTATTGTTGAACATTGTTGACTATTTAAAAGTGTTGCACCCATCAGAAAACCTGCTCCAAAACATAATGGTGCAGTACCCAAGGTGCATCGCAAAGATGGACCAACTTATATTGTATCTGGACTAGATTTGAAGAAAAACACACATTTTTCAAATACTGTGTCAAAAACATTAAAAACTTGACTGTATTACCTGCCAATAAACATCACTTTGCACTAGCTTTTCATTGGGAATCTTTTCCATTAAGGTTCATCAGAAAGATTGGGCCACTCATTCCTACCTCGACTATCAGATTAAATTAAAAACCCACTTTTTCCAAATACTGAGTAAAGAACTATACAATTTTGAAAGTATCACCTGCAAATAAATACCATTCTGCACAAGCTTTTTATTGCACTTGAAAAATTGAAATCCAATTAAATATTTTTTCTTAAAATAAGTGCATTTTGTTCTTGAATGAGGTAAGTGAGACACTTTGTCAATGGAAAAAGACAATTTACCTTTAGGTTAAGAAAAAATAACTATAGTCTTTTATTTCTAATGTATAATATCTATTTATATTATTTGAAGCTAAAATTATTAATTCCATTGGCAGATCATCTTATCTAGGGACTAAGAATAAGGGTAAATACACTTATTTTAAGGAAATGTTACTGATTTTTAGGTCGTTTTTGTAGTGTGGGAATCCTTTGCCATAAAATCATTTGAGTCTGGTACTGATAAACTGTACTTACTTGTAACATTAGAATTTGCAGAAGACCTAAAGCATATACTTTTTTGATCTAAAAGCCTCTGTCAGCCTCACATATTACATTGGGAGTTTGGAAAACCACAGATGTAAAATTGAACATATAGATGTGAGAAAAATAAATCTTTAAGTATTACCAATAATACCACTGAAAAGTTGCTGGACCAACAGATGAAAACCCCAACTATATTTTTTAAATTATCTAATTAAATTTGGCTGAAAGGCGAGGAGAAGAATGAATGACAGGACTCTGTGAAAGAGACATGGGAGCAATGAACTCTTAGACTTGTTGTTTTTTTAGGTTACAAAATATATAATCAGGTTGTGTGTGTAATGTCTCCTTGTGTCTCAGTGGTTTTTAACTTGGAACTTAACCTGAAAAACCCTAACAATTCCAATAAGACTATTACTTTACATCACTAAGACTTTAACCACCCACTTTCTAAACTTTAAAATGTCCTAAATGGAAACAGTAAGAAAGATACTTTTCAATCTAAAGTCTTCCATAAACCTATAACCTCTTTAGTTTTTGATGCATTGCAATAGAACTAATTCAATAATTGCAATGAGGCAGCATTTTTGTTTTCTCTGTTTTGTATAATTTGACTTTTTCTTATGTTTTTCATAGTGGTATGGGCTGCCAGGTACTAACAGGGAATGGCTACATGGAATGCCATAACCAAGCAGCTAACTTAATATAAAGAAACATCTGTGCAAAAAATACAAACTGAAGACCCCAAGGTCAAAATGGGAGTCGCCTCCCAAGGTAGTAGAGAATTGCTAAGGTAAGCTACTGTGCGACTTCTAGATACAACAGACAAAACCCAACATTGTGATCACTGATGAGTAACAAAGGATGGCCAAGTTAAAGATGTGGCCATTCCAAACTGGAAAAATACTAAGGGCCCATGTAAGAATTAGATGGAGCATGGAAGGTGAAGACAACTATAGTTCCTGTGGTCATTTGGAGCAGTTACACCTGTGGCAACTCCAATTACTAGAAGTTGCTGAGCTCTCCAGAAATATGTAGTGGGTAACTGCAGTGGGAAGTTGCTGAGCTCTCCAGAAATATGTAGTGGGTAACTGCCAGATTCATGAAAGCCATTCACGTAAGAAGACCATCCAACATTCCTAGTTTCACCTCCTCACCTCCATTCCTGTTTTCTCCTGCCTGCCTTCCCCATGTCAGATACTCCCATTGTCTTTTCTTGCCCTTCCTCTGGACCAAGTTTGTTTGCCTCTGTTTGGATTTTTCTCTCTATCATGTATGACCCAAGCTTGAGCCTTGGATCTGCCTTCTGCTTCTTTCCCTCAGGAAAACTCAGCTTGGTTAGTGTGCCTCCTCATACTGATTCTCTCTGTTGGATCCTAGATTCCACTCTCATATTGTCCTTCTGGAAACCTTTCTGCCCTGTGGACTGTGTTACTGTGCATGACCTCCAACCGGACTAGTTCATCAGACTTCGACAACACTGGATCCATTTGCCTGGGTAAGATTAAGGTTCAAGGGGTGCTGTTTCAGTGAACCACATGTTACTGCATTCCCAGTATTCTGGCTGAGTTATTTCTAATACTTTTAGCTCATCTAACTTGTTTGCTGAAGATCTAACATTGGCCATAATAATAGATGGAAGAGGTGTCTTAAATTTCCTCTCTGTCTCTCTTGTCCTTGCTCATTATTTGCATTATTGGTGTCTCCTTTCAACTCATCTGATTCTTGCCAAAGTAGATGAAATTTTAGCTTTAGATATTACTCAACTGGCTGTAGAAAAAAGAGCAAAACATTGTTATGAATCATAGCAAATGTCACAGAATAAAAAGGAAAGCAGAAATTCCTTCAGCAACAAAACATCCAACACCAGAGAAAATAAACATCCCCCCCCCAAAAAATCCTTTTGTCATGGTTTTGGTTATGTTATGCTTTACTTTGCTCCTTGTTTTCTAGTTTTTATTGGTTTAATTCCTATCTTGTTGTAATTTCTAGATTTGTTAGTTCTCATGTTGTCCTCTGTTGCCCTTGTGTGTGTGTGTGTTCCTTTCCCCTTGGCTCCCTCGTTGTCTCCTCTCACACCTGCTCCTTGTCAGCTCGTTAGCCCTCCCTTTGTCTCTGTGAGCTATTTATGCTCTCCCTCTGCTCTCACTCTTTGTTGGTTCCTTGTTGTTGCTGGTCCTGTCTTAGCTGTAGTCGTCTCCCCTCGTCTCTCCCTGGCTCCTTCTACGTGTTTTCCCTTGAAGTCTCCATGGTTCTGGTCTGTTACATTTTTAGTTGGATGTTTGGACTGCCTTTGTTAACCATTTTCATTAAAACTATAAGTATTCACCTCTGCCTATGCATTTGGGTCCTCCAAACCACAACCAACCTTGACACCTTTAAAAAGAATATCAGAATCAAGCCAGTACAGTTATGGTATTCAATATGCAGCTGCATTTACCAGCACAATTCCAGAAATTTGAATGTTCAGTTTACCAGTTCAGCACAGATTTAGAAAAAAAAAAAAACATTTAATGGAAATATCTAGAATAATTCTGAATATTCCTACAACGTTTTTAAACTATTAAGCATGTATAGACCTATGCAATGAACTAAACCCCTAAAGACAGCTCAGTAGATACATTTTGATTGACATAAGCTAAGTAATTGGTGATTTGAAAAACGGCTGAGAATTGATGTACCAAAGCATTTACAACATGTTAAAAAAAACAATTGACACAACGATGTCAAGATAAAACAATACGTTTTGAGAAACCTTTCAAGGTGGCAGATAAAAATTGTAAGAAACCCATATATTTTCTAGTTTTGCGGCAAACAATGGAGGATGTAAACACATGGAAGAGGGTTACTTGGGTAAGATAAAACATAAATTGAAATGTTTAGGCAAATTATGTATGAGGTTTAATGTAAGTTTGCACTTAACAGACAAACAATGCTGTAGGGAATCTGTTTCTTCAGCAACAAGGAGGATGGTTGGATTCAATGGGGAGATGGATTAAGGTAAATGCAAGGCAGTCTGGAAGAAAACTTGTTAGAGGCCTCATAAAACTTGTGCCTAGAGTGAAGGTTCACCTTCCAGCAAAACAATTATTATAACAGGGCTTAATACCTTCCCTTAACTGCTTTGTTTAACTGCACTGTCAAAGAAGGCCACTTTCCTGTTCTGAAAAGAAGGAATATTTTTAATAATTCCCAAGAAAAGAACCAATGCCCACAAATGTACACCAATATCAATCCTTCACCAAACTCTAAGATCTGCAGTATACTTCGAATAAAAACAACAAAAACAACAAAAAATTATAGCCGACCTTGTTGAGTTTTGACACAAATATTGTGATAGTGTACACTGAATGAATTAAATTCCTTCCACAGACTAACTTACTGCACTAGTGTAATGTATGTATCGATATGACACTAGACTTAGATTTTATTTTGTACACACAAGTGTATACAAAAAGAAATTTCGTTAAGTTGAGCTCTCTAGACCTGCAGTGAAAGATAGATAGATTTCAAAGTGTACTAGTGCGGTATATAAGTCTATGGGAGGAACTTAATGCAATAATATTAAGATCAATGTTTCAGGAACACATAGGTCTATTTGCAGATGACATTTTAATATACCAGTAATGAACAGCCCCAATACAAACTTTACTCAATTCATGCAACCAAGTTATAAATTCAGAGAACAGCAAGGATATAATTCAACATAAATAAATAAAATAAAGATCCTAACCTTTTTCCCAGAAATTAAGGGAGCATATATCTATCTATCATGACATGTACTGCATGCCCAACCATACTGGAAGTGTGTACAGTAGAATCCATTTATGCATCCCAGCAGCATCCCCTTCCCCACCTCCCTGAAATATAATGGATCCATTTTTTTTTTACACTTTCCATGTTTGACATCCTGTCTGCCTCATGTAATCTTTAAAAATGTATGTGCCTGTACCATGTCTTCACTATGCTATCCCTCAGAAACAAACATGATACTCATGATGGAAGAGGGCTCAGTCGTTGTGAGTTACTGCAGGTCCAGTGAGACTTACCATGTGGACGATAATGGTTTCTATTTGTTATGTAAAGAAAAACATAAATTATACTGTATACACAGTGTGAATGGAGGGTTCGAATGCAATTGAAACTCTCCATGCAACATGGTTAAGCCCGAGCTGTTTTAAAAACAATAATAAAAACATTAAATCTCTGGAGGTACAATGCCAGTATAGACATATCTCCAAATATTGGAAGCCAAAGACTGTTGCAGCAAAACACGTGTCACACTAAGGGGCTTTATACAAATGAATACAATGTTTAGATCTTTATTTTAAAAATAATTTTTCAAACCATGTATCATTTCCCTTTTGGTATGCACTACTTTGTTATTCCATCACTGAAATCCCATCAAAATCATTTAAAATGAGTTACTGCAAAACTATTTAAAAATGTAAAAAGGGTATTAATACTTTTGCAAAGCACTGTATAAAAATACAATTCATGCAATGGGTTTGTTTAAACATTTATATTAAACCCAGAACAAACAGTGGATTTCATAAAAACAATTTAAAAGGTATCTTGTTAATATAAACATCCTTACAGCAGTAAAATAATAATAACAACAAATGATCGTGAGAAAACCTGGGTGTACCAGGTCTTTTACAAAATATGCATTAAAACAGGCACCAACCACAAAGAAACAACCCCTTTTATCTGTTTGATCAGTTCAGAGCAGCATGTTGAACTTCTTTTATGAAAATATCTTCATTTTTAAATTCACTTTAATGACTCCTTCCTACAACATGAAAGTGCTTCCCTCTAGTGGCATGACTTGTATACCACAGTGTTAATTTTGCTATGTTTAAAGAATTAGAAGTGAATCCTTCCCTAAAAGAAACCAGGAACTAAAGTATTTATTCAGAGCCAACATTTCATCTTCTCTTCTTTATGGAATACATGCATGAATTGTGCCTTGAGTTATCTGATGGTAATGGATTCATATGAGTCTTGGCTTTGCTGCTTCTGAAAGGGCTCATTCCCAATGCAAATACTATCTCAGATATTTTATGGCCTAGACATGAATGTAAAATCATCTAGACTGGCTGTGCAACTTTGCAACTGAAGCTTTATGACTTTGTGAGGATTCTAAAACTTCTAGGAAGTCACTGAGAGTTCCTGCCTTTGCAGCACGTATATGTGTTTGTGTTGGCAGGGTGCAACACCAGTACGATTCTATTGAGCGCAAATACAGTTCATAATCAGGTTCATTAACTTCCACCACACCCACTTCCTGATATTTGGAGCTGTTATCTCAGCTCCCCATTAGCAGCAGTTCCTGAAGCCGGGGTGTAAGGCGTTGACGTGCCGTTCTGGCGCAGCGTATCGGCCTGTTCTAACACAGAAGAGATGACTGGCAGCTGATCGTGTGTGTGATCTGCAGACTCGGTTATCTGGTCGCTCAGCTGATCGCGACTGATGATGTTGGTGGTTTCGGAGTCTAGCTCTCGAACATTTTCCTTGTAAAATCTCCGTCTGAGGAGTTTGAGCTGAGGAAGTTCGTAACAGGTCTCCAACACCACCAGGATGAACACCAGGCCCAGCAGCAAATAGACTGAAAAAGCAAGCAGATACATACAATGGGGGTGTGATAAAGTTAAAAACATCATGACTAGACAAACCAGATCTGGTTAGCAGGTCACCTAATAGCTCTTACTTTTGAGTTCCTAAAAAAATTGCCTGACAATCCTTTCTTTGTTTTCAAGGCAAGAAAACAACAGAAATTGTGAGAAACTGCTTATTCTTTTAGGGCCAAGTTTTGTGTTTTTATTCTTTTAAATATATTTAAACTACAACAAAAACATACATTAAATAAAATACAAAAAATGCAGTAAGCCAGGTACTGGAAATGAGAAAGTCCAACGTTATATTCTATTTTAGATATGTGATTTAATTTCATCTTAATAATACTAGTCCCCTTCTGCTTATCTGGCATCAGGTCATGGGGCAGCAGTGTAAATGGAAACTCCCAGACTTCCGTTTCCCAAAAAAACACTTTGGGAAAAAGCCAGCTGAGAGACATAGTGCCTCCCGTGTGTCCTGGGTTGTCCCCTTGGCCTCCTCTCTGTGAATTTTGCCTGGACACTTTCTTAGGGAGGCATCCAGAGGGCATCTGAAAAAGATACCTGAGCAACCTTAGCTTACTTCTCTAGATGTGAATGAGGTTGCCTCTCCCTGATGGCCAAGTTCCTCACCCTATCTCTAAGGAGTTCCCAGCCACAATTTGGAGAAAGCTGTCTCATTCTTTTGGTTATGATCTAGATTTCATGACTATAGATGATGGTCATGAAATCCTTGCTGGTAACTGCTCCAGTGCATACAGTAGATATTTACAGGAGAAAGGAAGCAGAACCACCAGCAAAAAGGAGGTTGAAATGCTGGCCCCAAACCAGTTTTTTGAGGTTGTTGTTTTCCCACTAACATTTCCACTCAGAGGCGGTATAAAAATACCATCTTTTATGGATTAAATATTTTCTGCATTTTCTTTATGCTATCTCTTCTACAGTACATATTTTTTGTTGAAAAAAAAGCCGTTAAAAAGGCCTTACAGAATGATACTGCCATCTGTGGCCAAAACACAGAACTGCAGCACTCCTCAGCTCGTTCTAGTAACGCATGCTCGTACTTGACAAGGTTGTTTTTTTAAAAACTTTTTCACCTTTCGTAGACTAACCATCGGGGTCTAAGTTCAGCTGGATGCCAATCGCACCAACAAAAGCTACTTTGAATCTAACACATTGATTGTTGGCAAGGTGAGATCCATTCAAAATGCACGAGCTTGACGTCACATCCACCAACTAGCGCACAAACTTCTGACCCTAGTCAATTTAGGAAAATAGGCTACAGGCTTAAAGATGCATCTGTGCTGAATTACTGAGGTGTCAGTTGGCTCTTCAAACTATGTTTTAGTCATGCAAGTTAGAATAAAAAGGCTATTTTAAATATTGTTTTTAATTAAAACTTACATAATGTCTCTTTAAAGGTAGTTTTATTCAGAAACAACATTCAAACCCCTTCTGTTTAGCTGAATATCAGTGTTTTACAGTACTAGTATAAACAATCGTATAAATAAAGCATAAATAAGCATAAATAAAGTCAGCTAATCTTGGTAAAAGTATTATTTAAATGAATTAAAAGTATTTCAGAATTTAAGTTTCACCTTTCTGTGCAGGCGATGGGAGCCTTCTTCTCGACAAGACATTTTCAAAAATTTAAACTGCTTTTTTAGATTTCTTTTTATTACGTTAAAGAGTGTTGAACATTATCTCACCTGTAATGGCCAGCCTGTACAGCTGTGGGTGGGGATTGTCCTCCATACTATGAGTTTCCCCTGGGACATAATCCCCAAGGCCTATTGTTGTGAGAGAGATGAAGCAAAAATAAAGAGACTCCAGAAAGTTCCAGTCTTTTTCAAGGCTGAGAAAAATCCAGGCAGGAATAAAGAGGAAGAACAGAGCGATGATGATGCTGAGAGAAGTGGCGTGGATCAAGGCTAGCTGCGATCTTGACATTGCCCACAGCCGGTGAAAGTAAGAGACTGGGCGTCGTGAAAGCAGGTCCATGAGTCTCTCCACTATGGTGGACAGGAAGAAGAGTGTAACAGGGATGCCAACGATGGAGTAGAAGATACAGAATGCCTTCCCTTCATCTGACAGAGGAACAGTGTGACCATAACCTGAAAGTAGAGAAAATTGTGTCATCCACTATAGCATATAACTGCAGTAGATGGTTTACACAAACAATACAGTTTAGAAGAAAAAGGATGTTCTTAGTTCTTCAAAATGTTTAAACTAGCTTTTTTTAGTTTTAATACTTGAGTAGAAGCTTGGCAACATTAATGTTAAATTAGTATTTTAAGTCACATCTTTATAAATGTTTTGTAGGGTCCCTGTTAAAAATTATTCCTATTCATAACTAGAGTCTATACATGCAATAAATCCACCATGTTGCACATAAAAATGACAGGACAGTATTTACATTAGTCAGCGTGTGCAAAGAGCATAATCTTTTCTTTTGAGGAAGAAAAAAATCAGACTTTTGCCTCTCTATGACATAAAAGCTCACATTCTTTTTTAAGGCTGTTTAGCAAAGGGTGAATGTGACAATGTGAGCAGATTATTGAAATGACAAAATACGATGATGTATAATATATATTATACATATTTAACTGTTTCATTTTGAAGCTGCCAGATATATTAGTAGGAGGTAAACTCAGGCTTCATGTGACAATAAATGTTAATGATCTGATATAGCTGAGAACTCTTTCCAAACTATCCTGCACAAATAAAAAAATAGGTTAATATTTACAACATAACTCATTAACTTTTCACTTTGCAGGTCTATTACTAAATATATTTGCTCTTCTAGATCAGGGGTTCATGGCATTGACATTATGCTGGGGGCACCCTCTTCGCAGACTAACAGACAAGGCAACAAAATATGGCAAAAAAAAAAATTCTAAATGTTTTTATTAATTTTATGCCTGTTGAACTATCATAAAAATATTAACTGTTTTCTTTAACACTGTGCTATATTCCCACTAAATAACAAATGATTAAACTAACGGTTATGATAAGAACAAAGTAATTCAGACCCCTGAAAGTGTGTGTACTGGGAGGGTTGATCTTCATTTGTGTCAATACCTTATGAATGTCTTTTTTGAGTATTTTTAAAGGGAAAAAGTCAGTCTCACACTGGTTTGTTATTGCAAAAGTGAAAAGGAATTTCAGTACACTATCAGTCAAGGTAGGATAGTCTTTTCTGATAAAGTTACCCTCAAAGTTCAGTTTTAAATCCCCCCAGTTTTTAACCTTCATTGGATACATCATTTAAATTAGATAATAATGTTAAAGAGATATATGTCATGATATGGAAAAATTATTTCCATATCATTATTTCTTAATTTTTCACCCATTTTTCCAAGGATCCTCCAGCACACCTTGGCCAAGGCAGTCTCAATCCCAACCCATCAAAAATGAACGGTTTGTGAAGCCCCCTGTGGAGCAGACGACAATGCAACTGGGTACCCCGTTCATCATTTATTGATATCAGAGGTTGTGTCAGGAACTCACAAAGGTTTTCCTTGAACTGCAAACTTCAAAACTAACAATTACCCATCCTTTATCCTAACCCTATGAACCTAGAAAACACTATATCACCATACGCTCCTAAAGCACCCAGCAACACCAGTCTTGTTCATCCTTTCGTGGTGAATGATAGATAACAAATAATTTAAAGATAGATCTGTTCAACAAGAGCTTCCCTTTTTGGTTCACCATATCCGACATCAGAAGAGTCAACTTCGCTGCAGACAAAGTCCCAATTAGTCTCCTCCATCTACTACGCTGTCCTACCATATCTTTTGAATGAGATATCATCCCACTGTAACTTTTCTACTTGAGGCACCATGAGGTTGACGACAAGGTTATGTATAAACATTTCTTTAGATTCCTGATAGTACAGTAGCTCTTAAGTCTTGCTAAACTTGTGATTGTTTATATTCAGAGAAGTAAGGTAAAAGCCAAAAAGTTTGATAGAAACCAAAAGACAGAAAGAAGACATCAAATCCCTGCATCAGAGATTCTATGAGAGCAAAACGTGGTTAGCATCAATAGATTACAGTTACTGTAACATGTCTTTTAAAATGATGTTCTATAGATTGTCCTTTTTAAAACCTTCAGCAGCTCTAAGGGTTTATTCACATTCCTGCTAGTAGGACTCCTTGTACCACGTCACAAATCATTCTCTCCATCAGTATGCAGCTTTTAAAGATCATGCTCAAAGCTAAAGACTGGAACCTCGATGAACAGGAAAATCCTAAACTTATCTCAGCTCTGCTTTCACAGACTCGCTCAGCATCCTCCCCGCTCAAACAAATGCAGTGTGTTGTTGTACAATAGCAACAATAGAAAACACATTAAGTTGAACACATGAGGATTGTGTTCCTACACTGCAAAAAAATTAAATCTAAATAAGTAATTTTCCCTTAAAAATAAGTGCATTTTGTATTGAATTTAAAATAAGAAAATGACAACTTTGTCTTATTTCAAGTTTATATTATCTAATTATCTTATTTTAAGAGTAAAAAATGTTATTTACCTAATCAAATTAAGGGTGAATACACTTAATTTAAGAAATATTTACTTATCTCTGGATCGTTTTTGCAGTGTACTCAAAGGAAAGTAGGTCTGCTCTCTGCTAACGGATAAAACCGGATCATATTTCTGCCTGCATTGAGGGTTAAACAGGAAACTGATCTTAAAATATGTTACACTTTCAACCAAGTTAGTTCAAGTCTTGTAGGTTTATTTTCAGGTACAGTACATCTCTAAACTCACAAAGTGAATTTATTTCAATTGTTGAATGCAAAATGGTGAAACGTCTATACGATCAATTTCTTGCATTTAATGCTGGTAATTTCTATAGTTATGACTTTTTCATGATTACCATCACAAGGAGGATAAGTCGAAAAAGGTAATTGGGAAAAATGTTAATTATTTACAAGTGTTGTATTGTTTGGAAAATTCAAATGTATTTTCCAACCAGAAACTTGAAAGAATAGAAAAATGTAAAATGAGAATCGACCATTTGAATATTTGGCGGCTAAACTGTAAAAGTGTGCTGGGTTTTTTATAGCATTTAGCAGATGAAAAGGAAAGACAGAAAAGGAACCATATGAAGATTGAGAAGTAAAGCCAATTTAAGAGTGTTTTAAGATCCTCATACCCAAAGAAATCAGGTACATTAGAGCCTCACACAGATGTATCAAGGACATGGTTAAACTCCTTGCATGAACGGTTCTAGACAAGGGGCAAGGGGGGCCAGTGCCCCTGTAGATCATAATACTCAAAGAAATTCTAATGATGATATGCGTTGGAACAGACATGGTTAATGATAGAGGTCCTTTGGATCTATTTCATTTTTTTTCTTTACAAATTCTGTTTTAATTATTTAAAAAAAATAAGGCAACAGCTTCAGTGGTATTGAGACAGGATCCAAGTTTTCATCTGCTAGATGTTTTTTTTTTTTCAAAACAAATTTTAGAAATTAGCTGAATTTATGATTTTCTTGAGTTCTAATTTAGATTTTACTGAAAACGGTTATTTTAACTTAAGTCAAAATATGTAAAATTCCTAAATTCTGAATGTATATTGACCTAATAAGACATAGAATTTTAATTTAACCTAATTGAATAGAAATTTCACTTCATGCAGCACTCTTTATGTATTTGAATCCCTTGCCCTGTTTTTTTTTTTTTTTTTCTCCTGCTTTTCTGTGCCCCCATGCTGGCCCCCTCCTGGCCCCCTGGTACATTTGGTCTAGAACCGCCACTGACTCCTTGTCTTCAGCCATCCATGAACCATATCATCTGTCATGAATGTTTTACCTGGCTTAGGTGAGGAGACAGGGAGAGTGGGGTTTCTGTGGCCTGTATTATGTTTTAGTAGGTCAGCATAACTATGGTTTCAAAAAGAAAAACTTCAGAAGTGAACAGTCTCACCTGTAGTGGTCAACACTGTACTGGTGAAGAACAAGGAGGACACAAAGTCCCAGTTCCGGTTGGTGGCATTACCAAGGACGGACACTCCATAGTTACTGGCCTGGAGCGCGCGAGCCAGCAGTTCCTCCAGGTGCGCGTCGGACACGCAGGTGTTGTTGCTCAGGAAGTCCTGCCTTGCCTCTTTCAGCTCCTGTCGAAGCTCGTGTTCGTAGGGCAGCTCGATGGCGGAGAAGATCCCGGCACCGATGAAGAGGTAGAGGATGTAGGAAATAATCAGCAGCGCAAAGTTGATCCCGGACTGGTGCCGCTCCGCGAAGAGAGCGCACCAGTCTCCGATGCGTCCGGTTACCATCACTCAGTGGAGCTCCAATTCCTCAACAATTCACACTCAATCCGCCTTATTTAATCGGACTAAAACCTCATAGAGCTTGTTTATTTCCCTGTCTGCGTTTCGATAATAACTGCTCAAGCCCAAAAGACTGACTCTTCCTCATTCTTTTATCCTATTGGACGTGACGTCACTCAGTCACCTTACCAGGTGGACTGCGGCTGAGTGTGAGAGTGTGTGTGGATGGGTGTGTGTGTGTGTATTGGAGCGCACCATTTCCTCAAACCGGTGAAACGGGTTTTGTGTTTCAAGTCAGACGCAATAAAGGATCAGTTTCCTTGGTCGGTTTTCTGCAATGACTCAGATTTACAGGCCCTGCAGGTTGTAGGTTGGGAAAAACAGGAACAATAACAATATTACAACAGTATCAAATATACATACTACTTAAAGTTTTTCACATGACAAAATGGAGAAAAAGAATAGTCAGGATTTTATTGAATATTTTACTGTTAATTGAGGTGTTTTCAGACTTGCCTGGATCCCTTTATGCTGCTCACTGTCAGCAAGTTGTTTGGTGAAATGCTTCGACTTAGTTTGCAAATGATCTCACTTCCAGGGGCGGAGCTAGATGGGGGGCCAGGGGTGGCCATGGCCACCCTTAAGCCGGGCGTACACTTCGATTTTTTCAGTCGTTGCACGCAGCTAATGCTCACACTGTTTTCGACTAAACCCTGCGGTGTTAGTCGAAAACAGTGTGAGTTCACAGCTCACGGTTTATGTTCGGCCCGACGCTCTCATGCGATCTACCTGCTAACACTGCACGACTAAAAACCACGTCGGACTCAGCTCCCTCAGAGAGATGGAGCTGCTCTGATTCGTCTATCCGGAAATCAAATGTGTAGAAGAGGAATATGAAGCTAACTATAGTGAACCGCTCGACGACGTTTTTGGAAAAAAGGCATGGCTGAGGAAACGTGAATGTTAAAGTCTGTCAATTTTACAGACAGCAGTGCATTTCACTCATTGCATCCCCGCCATGTTTCTGTTTACTCCTGAGAGGAAGAAGAAAAAGAAGAATCCTTGTTAGCGCATGTACATTGAACGATTTGACCTTGTTTGATTGATCAAACATGTTTGATTTTCTCCCACCCTCACGATTCCTGATTGAGAGGTGGTTGTGAGAGGCTGATCACCCCTCCTAAACCCCTGTACACTTCTCGACACACGGCGCACGATCAGGCTGAAAGTCGGCCCGATCGAAAGTTTCTCGCACGACTGGAAAAACGCCCCGAAAATCGTACAGTGTAGGCCCGGCTTTAGCCAATCATTGGCCACCCCTACCATTTTTTTCTCTCAAGTAAAATATTCACAACATTTTAATTTTATATATATTAACAACTACTTGACAACAAAAACACTGTGGTTAATTATGCACATCAATATACCAACATTAGAGATGATCAGTAGAGAATTCATGCTGTTTCAGAACTAGATTTTGTGTTATATGCTGTAAAGATAAACTGATGTGTCTCTGGAAGTCATCTAAGAGTCTTCAGTGAAATCATAGATACTATGAAAATCAATTTTAATAAAAAGCTATTAAATTATCAATTTATGTAGATATTAGTTCTTGTAAATATCAATTTAATGTAGAATGATATTGATAAAAGTAGGTAAGTAATGGCGATGGAAGAGATGTTTGCTCCAGAACCCAAACCTCAAAGAATTTTATAACTTTTATCTAGACAGATGTTTAAATATATGCATATATTTGTTAATTTATCTATTGTAGGCTGTAGGAAACAATAGTTTGTCTTTATATAGGAATATGGATGTTGTGCTTGTTCCTGTTGGAACAGTGTAGATTGATCCTGAGATTTTGGTGCCTATCCACTTTTGGCCACCCCTCAGTATACATTGGTCATTGCCTGGCCACCCTTATAGAAATGTTCTTGCTACGCCTCTGCTCACTTCCTAGTTTAGTTCCTGCAATCTCTCTCAAATGGTTCTTCAGGGATCTATGTTAGGCCCTTTTCATTTTTTATGTTACAGTCACAAAGATTAACAAATCTTATTGGGATTTTAATGAAAAAATACCAATAGAAAGTGGCTCATAACTGTAAAATTGAAGCTAAAGTATTCAGAGTTTTAATTCTTGTTTTAAAAAACACGTTAAAATGTGGCATGTCAAAAAGCTTTTCTTTGTGAAGCAAAAATACTGTAGGCATAGGTATGTCAGGCTGACATACCTAAAATTAAAAGTGGTTTTAATATTTATGAGCATGAGCCACAATCATCTTGGATTTTGGCAAATTTTTCTGTCTGGAGTACATGATTGCTACTCAACTTGAACACATTTGCAAAGGTCTTAATCTGAGGAAATTGAAGTAGTCTGGCTTGCTGGAAGAACCTGGAGGTGCTGAAAAAAAATGCTTAAACATACCTGCTTGTACATAAATATTCTATAGATATATAATGTCTATGTGGATGTAAAAATGTATGTATTTGTATGTAACGTTTCAATGACTGGAGCTGTTTTGGTCTTGGCTGTAATAGGTTTCTTGATTATAAGCTGTTGTTCTGTAACTGTTGCCTTCCAGTGACTTTTTCTTCAATTTTAAAAACCTAAAAAATTGAGTATTGGTCTAGGCAACAAAGTGTTTTTATTTGACTTTTTTAAATTTTTTATATTATTTTTTTTTTCATTTTACATTTTCATCAACTTTTTTCTTTTTTCAAAAACAGCATATTTTACCATAATGTTTTTCAAAGTTCTCCTGATGTGAATTAACTTTATAACCCACCAGGGGGCGCCAGAGACCACTCCACCATCTTATATTCTGGCTTCACCCACTATGGCGTCATTAGACAAAAGAGAAAACATACAACAAAGCAGTTGATCAAAAAAACACGGTTTTTATTGATAAGTTACCACCAAACATGTCCTCAGTTTGCTCTGTCAGTATTTTCGCCTGTTGTATGTCTGGCCTTTCATAATAAATAATTATTTACAGCCACTAGGAAGGTGCAAATAAAAGCAACAAAAGGTGTCATTAGACATGCAGCCAGAGGAGTAATATACAATGAATGAGAGTCTTTAATCGATACTGTTGCATAAAAAGCTGACAGATAGATAGAATATGGTCACTAACTGATAGTGATGGTAGGATAAAGGCCTGGTGCATCCTCTGTTATCTCCTTTGCCCTCTTATAAAAGTCCTTGTTTTTATTGTTGTGGTTCTCTGGCTGTTTGCTGTGCTGCAGCATCCCAGAAAGTGCTTCAGTTGTCTGAGAATCAGAAAGAAAGCAAGATCAATGTCATGACTTCAAAGACATTATGATCTGAGGCATGAATCAGAGCCCTCATACATTACTCTTTCTACATGGGTAAAATATTTCCATTTCCCACCTAACTCTATTTTACACCAGCTTTACAAACCCTGCTGGGCTGTATAAGATACCTCAACACAGAAATATCAGCTCTAAAGACCTTAATTTTTTTGTTCTTCTATGTGGTGTTAACATCTGTTTACCTTTTTCTCATTTTCTCTCTTATTTATTAGTTTAGTTAAGATAGTTAACACAAAGTAGCGTATAACTGTGAAGTGAAAGCAAACACATTGAAAGCAAACACATTCACAAATTAAAATCTAAATACTGTGACATGCAATGTATTTCCCACTTTGCTCCGATGCCCCAATAAAAAATATAGGGCAACCATCTACCTGCAAAAGTCCCAGAATCAATAAATTAACAATTTGTTTGTGATCAAATCTCAGTAAAATCCAGTTTTTCCATAAAGGTCTCCAATGATCATTAAAAAGAAAAAAAAAAAAAGAAAAAAAAAACAAGACACTGTAATCTTTAAAAAAAAAAATTAAATATTATGTCAAAACTATCCACCGTTAGGGTAAGATAATATGTTGGTGGCATACTTATGCAACCGAGGCGCTCTTTTTTAGCACAAACAGGAAAGCTGGTCAGAGTTTATAAAAAATTTAATACAGGATAATGCTTTAAAAAAAATCCTGTTAGAGGTTTCCAAAAGACTCAAAGCTGGGGCAGGGGTTCAGTTCACCTTCCAAAAAGAATTGCCATAAATAAACACCCATAGACGTAACGGAATTACTAACACACAGGAAGCATGCTCATGTCAATTTTCAAATGCATGTTCCAGAGGCTTATATTCAAATGCATGCCACTCTATGCGGATTTTGATTTGTATTTATTTATTTTTTTTGTAATATTGTTTCTTTTTTCTACCATCTTTTTTCCATATATATGTCTTTGCGGATTTAAGTAATAAAATCCTATAAAAATACAATGCACTTTGTAGGGGAATAAATGTGAAAAAAGGAAAGATGTTCATATATTTTTTGCAAGGTTATTTTTTTTTTCATGCTTTGTAACTGTCTGCTATCTGCATCATTGTGCATTACTCACGAGTGGAGGAAACAACAGAATAGAAATGAGACATCCTATATTCTGACAAAGTGGCAAACTTCCAATTTACCAGCAGCAATTGGAAATATTCAGATTCATAAAAAGGTAAATAATATTTTTAAAAAAGAAAGAAATTAAAAATACATTTGGATGGACATCTTACCTCTGCACTCGTATCGTAGGTCTGAGAAGATAACTTGTTCCTGAGAGAAGACAAACAGCCCCAGTCTGCCTCCAGCCAGGGTGTGGTCATAAACTGCTCCCGAATCAGCCAGAATCCCTCTACCCTCATACACAACCACCCTGAAGCAGGAGCAGAATACAGGTAAAAACAATACAAATGTAAACTAATTGTTCATGCAGGGAGCAACCAGAAGACCTAAACAGTTATTTCCATTTAAAATGTTAATTCTATAAACATTATTTGTTTAACAACTACCTCTTAAAATGTAGCAGATGCACCAAATTATCAAAAAAATGCGCTGGATTCAATCTAAAATCGCAACCTGAGAAGTCATGGAGTGTCCTGAGGTTAAATACCAAGAGAAGTGACAGAGATGCCTCCCTCCAATGTGATTTAACCTATCAAGAAGATATTACAAGAGGATTTACTTCACTAACAAACACATAACAGTTCCTTATTCTATATTTTGATTAAACTAATCACAGACAGTGTGTACATGCTGAATATAGTTTGTATACAAATATAGCTAAATGTTATTTTATATACTTTATATA